ATTTCTCAGTATATACATCAAAGAAACTTTTACACATGAGTACCAGGATGATTTTACATCAATGTTTATAGATCACTTTTCATAAAAACCTAAATGGAAACAAGCTAAATGTTCATCAACAGTAGGATGAATCAGTAATCTGTGAGAATGTCAAAGCAATAAAATAAACACAAAAACAAAGTCCTTAATTACAGACAATAACAAGGATGAATTCTACAGAAACTGTTGAGCAAAAAAAGCAAGGGACAAAAAAACTGCATGCAATGTCATTCAGTTCACATAAAGTTCAAAGAGACCACAAATTTTAATATTTAGGGATATGTACAAAGATGTTAAAACTGAACAAAAGCAAGAAACTGATAATGATAAAAACTCAGAATGTTAGGTGATTGGTGGGATCACGCCTATGGTTCATCCTATAAGGGTACATGTGAATCTCTCTAAATGTAGAATATAAATGTCTTAACACAATAACTAAGAAAAAGGCATGAAGGCTATGTTAACCAGTTGGATGAGAGTACTTCAAATTATATAGAGAAACAGTACACTGTATCCCATGATAGTATTAATGTACAGTTATCATTTAATAAAAAAAAGTAATAAATAAAACATTAAAAAAAAAATCGACTCGGCGCCTGTGGCTCAAGTGGCTAAAGCGCCAGCCACATACACCTAAGGTGGCAAGTTCAAATCTAGCCCCAGCCCGCCAAACAACAATGACGGCTGCAACCAAAAAATAGCTGGGCATTGTGGCGGGCGCCTGTGCTCCCAGCTACTTGTGAGGCTGAGACAGGAGACTCGCTTGAGCCCAGGATTTGGAGGTTGCTGTGAGCTGCGATGCCTTGGCACTCTACCCAGGGGGACAGCTTGAGGCTCTATCTTCAAAGAAAAAAAAAAAAAAAAAAGAAACTCAGAATGTTAGTTATGAATGGAAAATATCCATTAGGACATCCATTAGTTAGGATGGAAAATATCCATTCCCTGTTTTAAGGTGTTATCAATAAATATACACTTAATTCAAACTATGTATGAACTAAATAATGATTTCTGGTACCAAAAACATTGTGAAAGATTAGTACATCTGACAAAAATTGAATTATGTTTAATCAGTCATATCATTTTAACATTGAAATTACACATGCATTTTTTATATGTGGTATACTGTAGACAACACATAAAATTAAAGCTTAATTGTACTATTTAGATAATTTAAGATTACTCAAATATTATCTAACTAAAATTAACATTATATCCCGTTGTGTCAATATTTCCATCAATCAAATTACAAAAGATTAGATCTGATTTTAGCTAAAAATGCTAATGTAATACTGAGTGGTGAAATGCTTTACAACATTAAGCTTCTAATATTTTTGAAAGGAAGATCAGTTTTATATTTTTTGATGCCTCAGGCCTCAAACTTTCTGAAATAGTTTTAGATATAATACCAGTAATCGATGAAAGAATTATGTTATGCATCATCCCTGTTTTTTTTTTTCAAGGAATCTGAGAGATAAATCTCTATAACTATAGAATTTTTAAAAAATATATAATGAAAAAAAGAAACTACTTCTTTAGATAAAGGTAAGTATTCAAAAATAGGCAATATCTTTGCTAATTAATTAAACTAAAGAATATATTAATCCTCTGGATTTAGGGTGAGCTTTCCCCAGGGCGGCATATTCAGTCTACCTTTAATACTTCATATAGCTCCTCTATGATATTGTACCCACTAGCATGGCCTCAACTAACTCTTTTATGACAAATCCTCACATTAATCACTAGATTCTAGCTCTCTTTCTGAGTTCTGGGCTGATTTATCCAATGACTTATTGAATATTTGGTTATCTGAGAGGGATCTAAAATTCAACAAGTCTAAAACAGCCTTATTCCTCTCAAATGTATGTTGTTTCCAGTATATATATACACACACACACACATATATATATTTTTTTTTAAGTTAACAGCAACATCAATCCGCCAAGACAGAAACCTGAGTCAACCTTTCCATTTTCTCTTAAATATCCAATAAATCATCAAGTATTATTGATTCTACTTTCTTAAATAATATTTTTCGAATCAGATATTTTTTTCCATCCTCAATGCCATTACTATACTTCAGGTTTTAATCATCTAGTGCCTACATTCTTGCAGTCTGGTCTCCTTCCTTGAAGTCAGTGCCTCCTTCTATTCCGCTGAGATCATTTTTCTCACTCATCATAGAAAAGCTTTTAAAAATTACCAATTAACTGTGTTAATTTCCTGTTTAAAAACCACATAATGGCACTCCATAATTTTCAGGATAAAATCCAAATTTCTTTCTCTCTCTGTTTATTTTTTGAGAGACAGTCTCACCTTTTTTTAACCCTTAGTAGAGTGCCAAAAAAATAACCATAGTTCACAGCAACCTCAAATTCTTGCTCTCAGGTGATCCTCTTGCCTCCGTTTTTCATTTTTAGTAGAGGCGGGGTCTCACTTTTGCTCAGGCTGGTCTTGAACTCCTGAGCTGAAGTAGCTGATCTGCCTTGACCTCCCGCCTCAGCCTTCCAGAGTGCTAGGATTACAGGTGTGAGCTACTGCATCCAGCCAAAATCCAAATTTCTTAACATGGTACAGTGACCTACCTCCAGCCTTATATTTTACCAATCTTTATTTATGCCCTTTGATTTGGTGCCACATTATTTCATATTTATGTTTTCAAAAGTTCTTCTGCCTTTGTATTCAACTCCAAGTTGCTAAATTATTTCCTACAATGACTTTGCTGATTAACTTTTTCAAATTACTAGGTTTTCTTCTTATTCATTTTTGTAGGAAACTTATACTTTATTTTTATGAATTTTTTGTTTTTGGAGACAAAGTCCAACTTGGTCACCCTCAGTAGAGTGCCATGTCATCTTAGCTCACAGCAACCTCAAACTTTGGGGTTCAAGCAATCCTCTTGCCTCAGCCTCCCTAGTAGCTGGGACTACAGGAGCCTGCCACAACGGCTGGTTATGTTTTAGAGATGGGGTCTCACTCTTGCTAAGGCTGGTCTCAAACTTGTGAGCTCAGGCAATCCATCCACCGTGGCTTCCCAAGTGCTGAGATTACAGGCATAAGCCACTATGCCTGGCCCAGACATTTTATTATTGAATATACATTTTAACTGTACTGTAAGATAGAGTAACTTTAAAATGTTTTTCAACTCAATAGCCTTCATAAAAATGTTGTCTAATTATTTGTATGTATATATTTATTGATGGCTTAAAGTTTCTAGAGTTCAACTTTTTTTTGAGTCATTATAACATATATTTCAAGAAATAATAAACACAAGGTTGTCTGACCCCTGAACAATATTTGCTTGTATTTTTCGAAGCAATTACTGAACTTCAAACAAATTCTTTATTCACTTCCCATTCTTCCTCTGAAAAATGAAGAATCTGGATTAGACCTAAGGCTTTTCCCAGTTAAAATATTTTATGAGTTTATATCAAGTTGAAATGAGTCTCCTAAAAGAAAAATCTTGAAAGATTTTTTTTGATGCTAGACTATAACTATGGTAATTAACTCCTGATATTGATTACTTATTAGAACACCTGTCATGAATATTAATAGTATGTCTCATAAGAAAGATAAATGAGCTTAACTGATTTAAAAATAATACAGAGAAAATTGAGGATTATTTACTAAGCTTTAAATTTACTGAACTTGATACTGAAAAGTTTAAACAAATTACGCTTAATTACTGGTTGAGATCTTTACACGTCATTTTTAACAACCAGTTAGCATTCTGTTTATCCTTGACAATTGCTATCCAATTATTAAATTGTACTTGTGCAACAGACAGTAAGTTCCATTTTCAATAGATGATACACTTCTTTTGAACAAGGGCAATATGTTATTTTAGAAGGTAAATATTCTGCAAGACTTAAATGTTAGACTTGTTTATAATCTTATGGAGTATTAATCCAATACATTTATCTCTAAGTTTATAGACTATTATCCAATATTAGACTTTTAACCATATCTAAAGAATGCAGTAGTGCTCTAATTTTAAAAAGTCAATTTTTCACTCATTATAATGTAAATTTTTAATTGAAATTGACATGTTGTGTTTTCTTTCTTTTTTTTTTTTTTTTGAGATGGAGCCTCAAGCTATCCCCCTGGGTAGAGTGCCATGGCATCACGCTCACAGCAACCTCCAACTTCTGGGCTCAAGCGAGTCTCCTGCCTCAGCCTCCCAAGTAGCTGGGACTACAGGCACCCGCCACAACGCCTGGCCATTTTTTGGTTGCAGCCATCATTGTTGTTTGGCGGGCCCGGGCTGGGGATTCGAACCCTCCACCTTAGGTGTATGTGGCTGGCGCCTTAGCAGGTTGAGCCACAGGCGCTGAGCCCATGTTGTGTTTTCAAAGGAACCAGTAAGTATTTAATAAAAGACTTGATACTATATAAAATTGGTAAAGGCATACAAGGTAAAGAAATTTCAACAAGATAAAAAGATAATCCATTAAGCATAGTAATGCTTATACACAGTGTTTTCTAATGTAGCTTTTCGATGAACTGCAAAGGAAAGGATTTCAAATGGTAGATGGAATCTGATGGTGATACAATGTTTAATCCAAAGAGAATAACTGGAATTTAAATGATGTCCTAATATATCCAAATATTGAATCATAATAAAGAGCAAGCAGGCCAGCCATGGTGGCTCATGCTTGTTTTCCTAGCCCTTTAGGAGACTGAGTGGGGTGGATAGCTTGAGCTCACAGGTTTGAGACTAGCCTGTGCAAAAAAGTGAGACCCTGTCTCTACTAAAAATAGAAAAAAACTAAGGCAAGAGGATCATTTGAGCCTAAGAGTTGGAGGTTGCTGTGAGTTATGATGCCATGACACTTTAGCCAGGGCGACAACTTGAGACTCTTGTCTCCAAAAAAAAAAGTAAAAAATAAAGAGCAAACAATTCTTTACCCACCTCCCCACCAAAATACTAACTTTTTGTAGAGGTGGAAAATGTCATACTATACCTTGATTTCTTCCACTTCATCTGGTACTATCTTGTATGCTGATATAGTCCCACCCAATCTGAAATAAAGAAAAGAAAATATTCTCAAAACCAGTAATAGTGTATAAAAATATGGAAGATTCCTGCCATTAGCATGAGAGTGCCATGAATAACTTCCCAATGTCCGTCTCAATAATCATGGAGGATAAACAACCTTTTTGTACTTACGCCTTTCATTTATTAGTTTAAAAGATAATGAGTGACTACTTGAAGAGCAATCATTGTTAGAATTTTATCCATATCTAAACTCCACTTATTGATGATTTTAATAATGCTGAAACTGTCAACTTAATGGTGGATTCTGTCACAAGTAATATGCATCAGGAACTGATAGCAGACATGGAGTTTGCTTTTATTTAAAAAAAAATTAACAGATTTTACTTTTTAGTGAAATTGTAGGTTTACAAAAAATTGAACATAAAGTAGAGAATTTACTATCCCCTTCCTTCTTTCCACTTCCATTCCCCCGTTTCCCTTGTAATACAAATTAACATCTTATACTGTTGTACCTGGAATGATGAACCAATATTAATACTGTCTCTTTTCAAAAATAAACAGAGAGTAAGAGTGATATGTATGCATAGCACTGTCCAAGGGAAAGAGATAAGAATTTGGGGGTTATAAATAACTTAATACCTAAGATACATTCTTAGCCTTGAGGTAGTGATGCCATTATAGTTTATGTTCATGTATTTTTAGAAATTTTTAGAAAACAACTAAGATTTGTATAGTATCATATGCCAAGCAGGCACACACACACACACACACATATAATATATATACATATATAATCAAATTTAATTCTTACAACTGTCTCTATTGTAAAATTTATAAATTGAGGTACAAAGTGATTCAGTAATTTTTCTTAAGTAAATGAAGAAACTAGTAAGTAAAGGAACTGAGATGTATGTAACTATAAAATACATAATAGATTTTGAATACTTTATTTGTAAAAGTGAATTTTAAAATATTGATTATGTGTTAAAATAATATTCTGGATAAATTAGGTTCAATAAAATACATTATTAAAGTTAATTTTATTCTTTTTTTACTTTTTAAAATGTGGCTACTAGACATTTTTAAATAGCACCCAGGGCATTTGTGGATCCCTTCTTATTTCTATCAGGTATTTTTGGTTCTTAAGCTCCAAGATTCCCTATCTGCCTTTGCGCTAACTCAGGGCTCACAAAGGAACCTTCAGATTCCTTGAGTTTGTAAGTATTCCATTATTAAAAAAGGGAGTATCATACATAAGGCACTTAAATATTCTAGATAATTTAGGATATCTCCTCTCTTCAATGTAAATTAATAAATGTCATTTTGGTTTCCATTAACAAAAACCCTAAATCCAACCTAATATTTTTGTTGGGTAACTATGCATTTAAATTATTTAATATTCATTATCATGTGCTCCTGCTAATAAAACCAGACTTTGATCTGAGAATAATTTCCTAGACTTAATGTGCCATAATTAAATGCTGAAAACAGTAATGAATTTTAACTCAATTAACTTCATCTAAGGTACACCAGTGATGTAATATATTAGACATAGTAAGGGAACTGTATGGTCAAGTAGCTAAATATAAAGTAAGCTTGGAAAACTTCCACATTATGCTAAATATAGAACTGAAAAAGAGATGAAAGGCGATATAAACACCAGAAAAAAATTCCAGAAAACAGAAACAATCTAGGAAAAAACTAAAGAAAACAACCAAGTCGTTAAGCATTATTAAAAACAAACAAACAAATAAACAAAACTGTTCAAGTCCAAGCATGCGGCTCATGCCGGCAATCCTAGCACTCTGGGAGGCCAAAAGAGAAAGACCTCTTGAGGTTAGGAATTTGAGACCACTATGGGCAAGAGTTTGACCCCATCTCTACTAAAAATAGCACAAAGTAGGTACTGTGGCAGGCACCTGTAGTCTAAACCCAGGAGTTTGAGGTTGCTGTGAGCTAGGCTGATGTCATGGCACTCTACAGTAAGACTCTGTCAAAAACAAACAAACCAAAAAACCCTCTGTTTTTTCCTAAGTGAATCTGGCTAACATTTTGTCAATTTGATGATCTTTCAAAGAACCAACTTTTGTTTTTTCACTCTCTTGTTTTTCATTCTCCATTTCATTTATTTCCACACTAATGTTTATTATTTCCTTCCTTCCATTTTTCCTTTCCACAATTATTGCTTTCTATTGAGGTTAGCTGATTTATCTTTTCCTTGTAGTGAATCTTTCTATCTTCTCATTTCCTTTTATGTATTTCTTGTAGGTATTTTCCTTGTGGTCATTAGGGGAAAGACATTTAACATCCTAAATTTATAATAATTTAATTTGAATCGATAGTAAATGAACTTCAGTAATCAGCAGCATATAAAACTCTACTCCTACACAGCTCCATTGTCTAGCATTGGGTTTCTTTTCTCTAGTTCATCAAAGTGTAAAGTTTGGTTATTTATTTGAGATGCTTCTTCCTCTTTAATGTAAACATTTATGGATATAAATTTCCCTCTGAGCACTTGCTTTCATTATATCCCATGAGTTCTATATATGTTGTGTTGCTCCTCTCCCCTCCCCTCCCCTCACCCCTCCTCTTTGAGACAGAATGTTACTTTGGCATCCCCAGTAGAGTGCAGTGGTGTCTCACCTCACAGCAAGCTCAAACTTTTGGGCTCAAGTAATCTTTTTGACTCAGCTTTCCAAGTAGCTAGAACTACGGGTGCCTGACATAACATCTGGCTCTTTTTAGCGATGTCTTGCTCTTGCTAAGGCTGGTCTCAAACCAGCTGAGCTCAAGCAATCCACCTGCCTCAGCCTCTCAGAGTGCTAGGATTTACAGGCATATGTTGTGTTTTCATTTTCATTCACCTCAAGGTATTTTCCAATTACATTTGTGATTTCTTCTTTAAACCCCTGGTTGTTTAAAAGTGCATTGTTTAACTACCACATGTTATATGCATTTTCTAGTTTCCCTTTTTCACTGATTTTTAGCTTCATTCCACTGTGGCTAGAGATGATACTTCATATGAGTTTTATCTTTTTAAATTCATTTAGCCTTTTTTCTTTTCTGGACTAAAACTACCATCTATCCTGAAGAACATTCTATGCCTTCTTTTGTGTATTAACAGCAACTGCCAACTGAAACACAATTCCATTTGGCATTCCTAATTTATTTTGTTAAATGTTAATCAATTTATTTCTTTAATATAAAATTCCTTTAAGAGACTTTTAAGTAAATGACTTTTCTAAATAATGCCATTATAATGAAAATAAGAAATTTATATATAATAATTATTGTCACTATGAAAACTATTGCAGAAAAAAAGTTGACACACGTTTATTTAGTAATAGGAATGTGTAAGGATACTTTAGAGTTGCTTAGAAATATTTTCATTTTCTGCCTTCACTCAAATCTGCTTGTCTTCCAGTTTTCCCAAATTATTATCATGGTAAATGTTAATTGATCAAGTAAATCATGTCAAAATGTGGAAATCTTCTTGGATGTGTTCCTCTTTCTCAGTTCCTACTACAATTAATGATTGATTTATATTTCTACTTGCCTTCAATAATCTTGAAAATGCCTATTCCTCCATTTCCAGTGACTTACTTTAAGATGCAATTTCTAACCACAATTTTAATACAAAGTATCCCAAAAGTTGCTGTATATAGGGAAAGTGGAAAATTGTACCTAAATCTAATTTTCTTTATGAAATATTCATTAATTTTTTTTACAAAATATGTTATACATGCTGGGCACCTATTTATAAAATTTTGAAATGAATATTTTGTAAATAAAGGTACATTTAGCTATAATTTCCCTTTTTCTCTAAGTAAAGCAACATTAAGGACACCCTGTAGTATCTATATCATGGCTGCTATTGTTTGGTCTTCCTAAAATGCAATTTGAACATAACATCTTTATTTTAATTCATATTGAATACCTTAAGAAGTTTGCTGAGACAATTTTCTTTATAAACTTGATTCCTGCTCTATTTCTTTTCTCATCCTTTCACAGTCCTTCTATGTTCTAGCCATGATCAATAGTTTCATAAATGTATCAGTTAATCTCTTACCTTTATATTTTTTACATTCCCCTATCCTGAATGTTCATCACTTCAGAACTCCTAGTCACCCTTCCAGATTCCACATAACTTTCACAAGACTTATCTCATGATAAGAGAAAAGCACTTTCTGAACTATGACTGAACAGTATCTGACTCATATCTGTATTACAGCATTTGTCCCATTATTGTAATTATTTTTTTCCCATTATTGTAATTATTTACTGAGAGACATCTTCATTAGATTATGAAGGTACAGATACTATTTTAGTTACCTCTGTACACCTAACACATAGTGAGTACTAACATCATGACAAATTAGCACGTTTGGTGAATTAATAAATGATGTCGGAAGACCTAAACATGAAAATTTTCACTAAAATCTTCAGTAAATGTTTTGCTCCAAAGAAATAGTATGTCTATTTTAATAACTTTTATTATAAATTTTTGGTGCAAACAATGTGATAGACACCAACTTCTTTTTGTTTGGGCAGTGCTCCCCTCTAGAAATTCTGCTTTGATTGAAGAAGCAAGCATATGTTTACTGACTTCCATAAGAAGCAAAAATATTGATTCATACATTAAACCTTAGTTTTGCTAAGAACAGAGTGTTCTACAAATATCTCTATACTTGACTTGATTCCTGCCATTCATAGTACTTGTATCAGATATCATTTTAATTAACATAAAGTAACATTAATCTTATTTTTTTCTAGGATATCCTGTTGTCTAAATGATGCCAACGATTTCAATCTCATTAGAAATCTACTAAATATAAAACCAAGATTTCTAACCTTACACACCATACTCAATAAATTCTGCACATGATTATTTTTAGTGTTTTCTATGCTTAAGGTCCTGTGATAGACCATAAAGCCCTAGCTCCCAGATCTAATTTTAAAAATCTAAGATTATTTTAAGAAATTGTATCACCTGGTAACATGGTTTATCACTGGTTTAATTTTAAAATTTAACTTAAAACTTTTGGGGTGTGGTCATTTAAGTGGTCTACATGCTTTAATTTTTTTCTTAGAATATAAGCTCCTAAAGAATAGAATAAAAATTTAATTTTTGAATTCTATATAATATCTAGGCTAATGGCAAACAGGTACTAAATACACGTCTGCTGAATGAATAATTAATGTGCAAAACCCAAATTGTGTTCTTTGAGGTGTTCTCCCACCCCACACAAAGTTATACATACAAATGAGTTTAGGAAACCAATATGTTAAATCTGCATAGATAAAGATAATCTTGACAATTTTAACTAGCATATTAAAGCCCTAGGAAATTTTGCAATAAAGAAATCTATTCAAATTTAAGCCAATGTTATAAAGACATATTTAATTTCATTCTCTCAACACATATTAATTAAGCACCTACTATGAGCCAGACATTATTCTAGTTGCTGGGAACAAATTAGGAAATCAAACATTTATAATGGACTTGTATTAGGTACTTGTACATATATTGCCTCAGTACTACATCCTGGATCATATTAATTTTCTTAAAATTAAACTTTCATACATAAGTGTTGTTGTAAAGATATGACTTTTTTTCAAATTTTATACTATGGAAATCTAACTATCATTAGAAATATAGTCTGGGTATGGTAGCTCACACTTGTAATCCTAGCTCTCTGGGAGACCATAGCAGGAGGACTGTTTCGGATCAAGGCCAACCTGAGTAAGAACAAGATCTTGATTCTACTAAATACAGAAATGTCAGCTGAGTATTGTGGCACATGTTTATAGTCCCAGCTACTTGGTAAGCTGAGGGAGGAGGATCACTTGAGCCCAGGAACTTGAGGTTGCAGCGAGCTAAGATGATGCCACTGCACCCTATCCATGGAGACAGAGCAAGACTCTGTCTCAAAAAATATATATAAATTAAATGAATAAAATTAAAGAAGTATTGACTGTAATACATTCTTGATGTCAACTAATTTTCATATAGGTTGGACACTAGAAAACAATCGGTTTGTATTTTTATGCTTTATGCAATGTTTAAAGAGAAAGAAGTTTATAAAGAAGCATGTTAGAAAATCTTTCCAGAACTGAAACATTTTGACATAAACCATTAGAAGTATGTATATGCAATAGAAGCCTTTATAAAAATGCTATTTTTCTTATTTAAAGTTTTTATTTAGTCATTTTTTAATGAACACTAGTAAAATTCCATTGTATTTATTTCATATAATGCAGTTATAGTAAACATTCACTAAGACCTCATATATTATATGAAAATTTGACCAACAATCACTAACCTCTTACTGATATACAAAGAATGCAATATATAATTAAACGGGATAAGAGAGTACTTCTTAAACTATATGAGAAAAAAACACTCTTTGTAAGTCTCTAACATATTATTACCCAAGAATCTTTTTATATGCTACTGAAATCTCATCTACTTAATACTCTTAAACACTGTTCTTTCACTGAATAAATGTTTATTAAACATGTATTATATGCAAAGCATTAGTCCATGTGCTACAAAGAAAGCAGTGAAATATTTAGTACTTCTACTCATGAATCTTACATTCCTTCAGAGGGTGACAGGCAATGAACAAATAAGAAAATTTCAAAAGTACTAAGTGCTATAAAGAATAAAATTGAAGATGATGTGATATAATGCACAGGAACTACTTTAAATTGGGTGGCGCCAAATTCTCAGAAAGTGATATACTAAACTAAGGCTTGCTATTAATTTTCTTAGTAATTGCATATACTTAAAATGGCTGGGCAATATGGCTCATGCCTATAATCACAGCATTTTAGGAGACAGAAAGGGGAGGCTCACTTGAGACCAGTTTTGGCCTCAGGAACATAGCAAGACCTTTTGATAAAAAATAGAGGGTGCCAGCCTCCTATACTGGGGGTGGTGGGTTTGAGCCCAGCCCTGGCCAAAAACTGCAAAAAAAAAAAAAAAAAAAAA